GATGTGACGCAGACTGGTTTAGGTGGTACCACGGCAAAGCTATGATAATCGAGGCGCGATTCGGAAATGGTACCATCGTACCTTTAGCAGTTGGTATACCTGCTCATGATCGGCGTCGTGTCTCGTTGGCAATTGACTGACATGCACTTGTACGGTGTCCAGGGATCCGAGTTTGCATCTTGGAAGCAAGATGGAACTTGGATTGGTGGTGAAACGGCAGAGAACACAGCATTCATGTGGAGGCAGCTGAATACCACCTCTGTGGGTAAATGGCTATCGAAGGACAGCGGGAAGTTGACAGTTATCACGGATCGAGGAACAGCGATTCTGAAGGGTTTACTCGATACCATGCCTCACGTTGATGTTGTCTTTTGTGCATTTCATATCATTGCGAATATCAACAAGCATTGTAAAGGTGATTTGCCGATACATTCGTGTTCTGGATTCGGCCTAACACCTGTCCTCCTTTCAGCGAATGGTGCTCCAGTCCTCCAGAAGACTGGAAGTCGTACGAACTCAGCTACAGAACCCATGTTTTGGGCAGCTCAGGTATCAGACCTGACAGGAACCCTCCAGTACTGGTGTTGTCAAGCTACTTCTTCCAGTTGTGGAAGGCAGACAAGGTAACCACATGGGTAAGCTTCCGGGATCGACGGTTGTCTGACTGTGTTGTGTCTCCCATCAGATGCAAGTGTTGAATCGATGGAATCAATCCATCGATTTCAGCAAATTATGTCCTATGCCCAGCATATACTGCTTCAGATACTCCTTGGTCCCAGCTGATTTATCCCATCACGCAGGCAAGTTGACTTATCATAGCTACTGGACCAGTTCTGAAGGTCCCTTGGCAGATTCCACGACAAACGGACAGCACATCATGCGGTGTTGTCATATGTGCTATGGCGGATTGCATAGTTACAAATGAGGAACTGAACTGTTTCGAACAAAGGGTATTACGCAGTATATACGGCAGTCAATACCCAGATAATTAATATTGGCACATAGTAATACAATATGAACGGGATGACATGTTCACCACACCAATCACTGATTCTCCATACGTATCGTCGGAATGTCACCCGTTCCTATGTGTACTGATAAGTTAGCATCATTTTGAAGGAGGATGAGGAGAGGAATGTTTCACCAGGATGAAGAAAAAGGCATCACATGGAGGAAGGTGGAAAGGGGACGAGAAGGAGAAAGTCATGAGGGGATGACCAGGAGGAAGGTACGAGGAGATGACAAGGAGGACGGTACGAGGAGATGCCAAGGAGGACGCTACGAGGAGATGGCGAGAAGGACGGTACGAGGAGATGACGAGGAGGACGGTACGAGGAGATGCCAAGGACGAAGGTACGAGGAGATGACGAGGAGGACGGTACGAGGAGATGACGAGGAGGACGGTACGAGGTGATGACAAGGAGGCAGGTACGAGGGGATGACGAGGAGGAAGGCACTAGCTAGGGGGATGACACAGACTCGGGCCTAGGGAGGGTACGGGGGGAAAAGGGGGTGGTGGTGATGTGGGAAGACCGGTGTAATTGACTGTATCTGAAAGGTAATATGGGGGAGGGGGTACTGGCATAGCATTGTATGGGGAGAGGAAGGGTGGTGGCGGTATGTGAC